TATTAGACGTCTGCATGATTACATTCATAACAAAGCCACATTGAGTACATTCAAATTGAGTAGAATATGATTGAGTGAAAAGGACAGAATGAGACGAATGTGTATACTACTGTTTCGCAAGACGAACATGTTGTGTCTCATGCCGAATGACTGAGTATAACGAAAGAAGAGCAAAGTGAAATGAAAACTTCGAAAACACTCGAACTACTCAAGTAGTTCGAAGAATATTTTGTGTATTCATTTTGTGCTTTGAGAAATTATGAGCAGACGTGCGAAATGGAAGCGGAAGCTGCAGGAAAAAATGTATGTATTTTTCGGCAAATACCAGCGTGTTGTTTTTGTGTTTTGTTTTGTTTAAAGCTTGTGTTTTAGTTTTACTAACAAAATGTGTAGTTGTGACCGTCTATATATGTTTTCTGTGTTGATATTTGCAGATTTAATATTTATTTGGTCAATAGCTTCCAACCCTGATAGCATTAATAAAATTATGTTTTTAAATTCTAATATTATTAATTAATTATTTGTAATAAATATAAGTTAAAAATTCCACAACAAAAAATACATTGCAAACATATTTCTTTATTTTTTCCTCTTTCTTTTAACAAATAACACACTCAGCAGAAAACAGCTGACAATTTTCGAATGTATTCAATATATGTACAACATTTAATAGCTTCTGCTGCTCACTCACTYACTTCGTTTCTTTTCGGGTATATTTTTGTGCAGCCGAGAGAAACACGACTTCAGTTACTCACTCATTCTCATTTCGTTTTGTACAAGTATTCACTCAATTCAATGATGACTTTGTATATTTGAATGTGTTTTTTTTGCCATTCATGCAGACGTCTATTAGATACTACTCCACTTCGTATTGGTTCGGCTCAGTCTCTTGAGGCTCGAGCAGTGAAAATATTGCACGACAAAGTCCGTCCGCTGCAAGCGCTCAAACGAAATGGTCCCATTCTTATATAAAGTACGGCTATGCGCTATTTGTCCTACTCTGTCTCTCTCTCTCTCTCTCGCTCTCGCTCTATCTCTCACTCTATCTCTCTCTCTCTCTCTCTCGCTCTATCTCTCACTCTATCTCTCTCTCTCTCTCTCTCTCTCTCACTCTATCTCTCTCTTTTGTCTCTCAATTCACCGAACTCAGTTGCGCACAAAAATTTAATTTTGTTCGCGACGATCCCAGCTCTTTCCTTTTGACTGAAGGGTATACCTACATTATAAAAGCGTTTGTCACGCTCATGCAAGCGTTTCGATGGTTATTCGTGGGAAGGGTATGAAAGTTTGTAGAAAATTTTGTTCTACATGTCTAGTCTATGTGTTCTCTGGCACTGACTACAGGACACATAGACCGGACAAATAGTGTAAAGCGTTTTGCACACTTTTTATTCGAGCATTAGTTCCCAGACCACTTCGTATTTGCTCGGCTCCTCACTTTTAGGCTCGGACTACGAAAATATGGGAACACAAAATCATTTCTCTTCATGCGCTCGGCCGAGATGATCGACTGTTGAACAAAATATCCCTCTACGCTGAATGTTTCCCTTGCTCTCTCTCTCTCTCTCACGTTTCGCTCTGCTCTCTCAAATATGTATGTATATGTATGTATGCATGTTAGCACAAGCAGCCGCTCACGAAAATTGAAATTTCGTCGCAGCAAGAACCCATGTCTTCCATTTTGAGTGAATAGTATTCCGAACTCTTCAAGCCGTTTGCCATGCGTTTTCGTTATTATTTGTGGGAAGAGTATGAAAGCGTTGGTGCGCATAATGAAAATGCTTTCGCGACGAGCATGCACACACACACTTATAGTATGCTACATGGACTATGAGCATTTGTACGCCTGTGTGCGGAGCTCTTGCTACCTGTAGCAATTTTTAAGCCCAGCATTTGTGAAGTGCTCACATACATATGTATGTATCTATGTACATTTGATTGTGTGTACGCACGGGATGCGATGCTCACAATTATGTGATATCACTTGTAGAAGCATTTGTATGCCTCTGTGCCTTTACATGTGCGTGTGTGTATGCG